GGGCTAAGAACATGAACATTGTACTTTATCTGAAAAAGACTCCTCCAAGAAGAAAAATTCTCAGCACTGTAATAGTAAAGGACTGAGTTAAATCATTCTGGGATAAAAGTGCTGTTCACAGAGGGTCACTGTTAAACATTTTGCAGTCATTTAATTTTTTCTGATGTCACCCCTCTTTATGTTAAACTAATAAAATGCTTATTTGGTGGTGATACACAATCTCAGTGTAATGTAGCTGCATACAGACCAGATGCTTTGATTGCTAACAGAACTGTGTGAATGTGGCTTGGCTGCAAAGAGACACTGTTGAATAATTGGAGATTCTGATAGTGTTGGATCCGATTGATTCTTTTTAACTAAACCTTTAGTTTCAGGTATAAACCTTAGAAAAAATAAGGGTTTGTCTGTAGTGAATTTTCCCACCAGTAAGATTATTATCTTTCCAGAAATATTTAGACTATTTTATTTCATTTTTTACTTTGATATAATGCCTCTAAGTGCAATATAAACTTACATTCATCTTTTAAAAATATGTGAAACTCTACCACAAGTTGCTTTTTACATTTCAATCATCTTAGCAAAAACCAAAGATTGTTCTAACAGAAATAAAACACAGAACTGAAATGCACATGTAATCTTTATTTCTCAAAAGTCTCAAAGAAATATTTTGTTTGGGTTGTGAGAACTAGAAGTAGAGATATAGTCCACCTTGAGTTACAGCAAAAAAATAAAAGGGAATTTTATCACCAGCTAAACAAGAGTCATGGTACTGCTTTTCTTAAATTAATGGATCTCTATTGAATCATAAGACCAAGAGAACAGGAAAGGTTGTTAAGGCCTGGTGGTGCTAAAGGGCTTCAAGAAAAAGTACAATCAAATACATCTTTAAGCTGTCTCTTGTTAAAGAACACTTGTTTCCACTAACTCTGTAGTAAAAACAAATTTTCAAACTAATATGTCAGAGCTTTAACCAAACCTCACTGAACTGTGCAGAAATATTCTTTTTAACACTGCTGCTGGTTATGACCGCAGATGTTGGAGCTAGCTTGAGCAACACTAGTCAGAGAATGACTTTGCCATCTCTATCCTAAACCTGTACCCACTAGGCAGTCCCAGAAATCACAGCCCACTGAATCTAATTCTTTCTCTGTATGATGCTTTTAAGAACAAGTTGAAGGTGTGTAACTGCAATTGTAGTGAAATCTTCAGTGCACACTGGGATGGTTCCTTCCCATATGGCAGGACATTTTCACTCTTGCATCCATAATATGAATGCAATCTTTTTTGTTCCTAAAATTATGGCTTCCCTAAAAAAAGATAAATGAGTAAATTGTTCTGCAATGACTGACCTACATCAAGCAATACAAATAAGATCTTTTAACTTCAAAGACCTGAAGTCCTTTATAAATTGCTACGCTAAAGAAATTAGATTTATATGTATCTCATGTTCCTCAGTCTTCTAACTGAATTAGTAATTGAGAACAATCTTCCTATTTCATTCAAATGAAACTATCTTGGGTAACACTGCCCTAGTGTACAGCTGTATTTAGGTTAGGTAGTGGTTGAATATTTTTTCATGGTAACTAAATCCCTACAGCCAGCAGACATTAATGTGGGATTTAAGAAAGATTAAACTTCTAGGATCCTGCCAAAAGCAATAATTAAAGTAACTATGATCTGCTTATATAAACAACTGTCATTTAATTTTAACTGGAACTTTTGCCTTTTAGTAGTGTCAAGCAGAATAATCTTCCAGGGGACTTGACTTTCAAGATGTTCCCTTTACTATATCTACCTTTTATGACAGAAAAGATGTATTGTTAGTACAGAACATAATTTGCATACTCTATCTCTACTAAGAGTACGAAAAGTATAAACTCCTGAGAATTAATTACCGAGTTAATGATAAATCAAGTTTTGAACCAATAAAATCCTAAATTTGCCATGAATTAAAAAACTTTCGATGTAATGAAAACATTGGAAACATAAGAAGTAAAATGAATATTTGTAATGACAATGAAAATAGCAAGATGGGGAAGAGCAAGAAAAAGCAGTAAGTGTAACCTGTACATTAACTGTCTGTATCCTGAGCACTCAGGGCACCAAAATTCTTGCCCTGTAAGAAGTTGTAAGTCATCCAGACATTGTTGCTTATAACTTTCAGTGAAAACTGCTCATTTCTCCAGGATGAAGCCCGGGCAGGACAAATTCCTGGGCAGCAGAAGGTTCAGTCTGTTCTAGGAGAGGAGAATAGGATAGTGGACTCCTGGGAAGTACTCACTTCTCCCTCCACTCCACTCCCTGGGTCTCCCAACCATGCCACACATGTAGAAACACAGCCTGGGGCTTCCCCAAGCCAGCCCTGAGAGTGCCATGGGCAGCTGGGGACACAGTCCCCAACTCCCCTCAGAATACAGGCACGGCAACGAGGTCCCGAAACTCAGAGCGTGTCCACACATCAGGGGGTCCTCAGCTACTACACATGGCAGTAGGCATGGCTCAAATCTCTTTCTGGCTTCTCTAGAGACCTGTACTGTGGGGCTACTGATGGTGGGCCCCCTGTGCTTCTTTTTCTCCAGTTTGGAGTCCCAAACCCTGTCTGTGTCTTCCTGAAGGTTGCAATGAACTCTTATCCAAGTGCTCCGTGGTCAGGGCTCCTAGTTTTATGAACTTATTGGGTACTAATAGGAATTCTAGGATGTGGCACATGACCTGTTACTTTTAATATGTGTTTCATTTATGTCTCTACGCTTTATTGCATTATTTTGGCAGAAAAAGAAGGAAAAATTTGTGTCAGTTTGCTGAAAATCCATTCTTAGCCACTGGCAAACCCAGCACTTATTTTTAATTCTCCTCCAAGTCCTGTTTGAAAGACAATGGTTTTAACTCTATTTTCCTATCCTTTAAGTAAATTAAAAACATTGTATTAAAAACAATGCCAGCAATGTTTTCCCTAATGGACAGATAGGCCTACAGAGTTTATTTGTGTAATTAGAGGCAGACTGGTCTTTAAAAGCTAACAATTTCCAGTGAGTCTGAGAGTTTCTCATTGAATTAAGACAAAGAAGTAGATACATTTCATTCCCTCTTTGCTGAGGAACTGCCCTTAAAATCCAGTGCCAAGTTTCTAGGTAAGCCTAATACAGTCTTTGAAGTCCCTCCAATTCTCAGGATGCACATTATCCCAAGCCACTTTAATATTGATTGATTTAGTTCAAATTCTGGCTGCTGAAAATCACTAGAATAGAAAGGTGTACAGGAAGATCTACCAGTGGAACGGTGTAAGAAATTTAAAATGAAAGCAACCACCAACTACCTTTACACAGATCATATTTTGGTATCTTGCCAGTAAAATGAGCAACATTTTAGACATCCACATCATAAATGCTTTTGCAGCCTTGGAGAGATTTACAAATGCAAAACATGTTTTTTATTTATCTTTTTATGGAGTTGATTGCCCAATTGCCCTTTTTCTTTTACAATCAATTATCCATAGAATAATGGCTGATAGTTGATCCCAGATATAATGGTCATGAGTATTGTCTGTCCTCCTGAAACCCTGACACAAATATGTCGCCCTGTCAGAAATGGAGACTTGAAGGCTGATCTCTCAACAGAGAGGATATGAGGACTGGGCTCTACTTGGAGTTTTGTTGATTCTGGCAGGCAGTGACCACACCTGTCTGTCACCAGTTCTCACAGCTCTACAAGTATACGGAATTGGGCAGAGCAGATAAGTTTATTTGAGAAGTGTAGGCATTTCTGTGGGTTAGGATGACAGCTCTGCAGTGTTGATGTAGTGTAGCAGTGATGGTGCATTTGTTTCCTTTCAGTTCTCCTCTGTTCCTAGAGCTTCTGACTCTGCTATTCCCACTCCTATTTGCTCTTCAAAAGTTTTATATCACTAAACTCTATGTTTAATCTTTATTTTCCATGTATTCCATTCCAGACAGCTTAGCACAGTTAGCTTGGGATATGTCTTACTCAAATCAATTTTCTAAAAATAAGGCAGATATGGAAAAAGGGTCATCAAATCCAGGATGTAGTTAACCAGGACCAATACACAAATGATTTGTGACAGCCAGAACTCTGAGAAGTTTTCTGAAGAAAAGGAAGGGTAGGGAATTCACTATCAACTATTAAGTTCTTTCTACCATAGTTCTTTATTTTTTTTACTGGCATAGAAGAAAGAGGATTATAAACAAGGAAGAATTTTCTGGGTTACAGACAGAGCTGTTACTGTAACAGAGAATTTTGTTGTTCCCTGGAGCATGTTTAGAATGTCTTAGGACAAAGGAGAAACAGTGCATTTCTATATCTCATTGCCCCATCTTCTTTTGAAAATATTGAAAAAAAATTAAATCTGCAGACACTGATTGCCTCTTAGGACTACCTTTGCAGATTTAAAGACAACTGAAGGCCCACCCTCCTTGCAAATAAGAGCAGATACTTTCAGAAATATGCTTTTGGTAAGGGGATTGCAACACACAGTAGAGTTCATTTAGGCTCCACTAGATAGCAAATCTTGGCTAAAGCATGGATAATTTCTTCAGTGCCCAGAAGTTCTGGGGCAATCAAGGCACATGGCTGTGGTTGTACTGCTCCTGTAACACAGGCATAGAGTAGTTCTGCCACTGTGATCTCATCAAATAACTTCTTAAAGAGTTGTGCTGTGCAGCTAGAGGCCGAGTGCAAGGAGCAGTTCTTGCTGACAAGTGGAAATGACCACAGTTCTATTCAGGATCTTACTTAGCAAAACTGCAAAAAATCCACAATCATGTTTTTGAGGTGTTGTGCATCAGGCATTGGGTACTGGTGATCATGCCACTGTAGGAATGATAAAGGAACTTATATAGACCACCAAAACATCACACCTGCAGGATATAACAAATACTCTGGGATCAAGAAGAATCATCAAGCCTGTGGTCTGCTCATCTGAGAATTTTGTTGCCAACATCCCAGCTGACTGACTGCAGGAGAAGACCGACAAAATTCCACCATTTCAGCCTCAGAAGATGAACATTTATTTATATATTGCCTGAATCTGAAGGTGTTACATTCCCAAAAGACACTCATATTTTGATTTATGAAAATACTATGTATAAAGACAAGAGTTTAGCCAGATAGAAGTGCTGCTAGTCTGCACAGTTCTCACCTTCCCTTGCAGGGATCACACAGGTTAGCATCTGCAATAATTTCTCACAAAATGACCAAGTCAAGCAGTACTGTGAACTAAAATTATCAGAGGATTCAAAACACAGGCAAAGCCCAGTGAGTGAGCCAAAGGAGGGGCAGGTTAAAATTGTGGAAAGCAGCAGAGAGATGTATTTCCATTTCATGGTGAAGAGTCTTTATATCAGGAACATGTGGTACTTCTTTTTCCAGGAGATTTTCTAACTGTGGAAACTGTCAGCCTGGTTTAGCGTAAGCTTCTCTTTGCTTGATGTAACTCATACTAACTTACTGCAGAATATGTGGATCACATTGTGGCATGATGGATCTCTCTCTCCAGCATGCTTTAGCCATACAATCCTTGAAGTGCATGTAGACTATTACCAGTAAAAGACAATGTGGAGGTCACCTGGCTTGTCTACTTTGAGTTACACCTTAATAAAGCTGACTTGAACCAGCCAGTCCATCTCATCAACAACCTCTTCTGTTTTGTCAATTTCTGAAAGAGAACACAAAGTGCTGGAATGGTCCATGGGGAAAAAACAAAAAAAATCAAAACCAAAACAAAACCAAAACCAAAAACAAAAACAAAAACAAAAAACCAAACCCATATAACATTAGGATATTCGATTTTAAAAAGAAATAAATTAAGCCCCATGCTCCAGTTCTGAGCCTTTCATGATTTTTGAGTTTCAGTATTAAAAAATAGAGTTTTACATTGTGTTAGTTAGTAATGGAAAATAAAAATCATTCTATTAAGGTGTCAAATAAGCTTTTTTGATACGTCACTTTAAAAAGTTATTTTTTCACTTTCAGATTACCCAGCTTATGTTTATTTTAAAGTAAACTTCATTTTCATTCAAACCAGTACATTTTTCCAGCCTTTTTATTTTCTTCAATTTAAGCAGCAGCTCTCCTTAAGCCATATTATACTTGCAGAAGGCAAATGAGAATGTGTGTATATGTAAATCCTACACAAAGACTGAAAAGTTTACCTCCAGGTGCCCTTCAGTCTTTCATGTAATCACCATATTCTGGGTAGATATGTCTAGAGGGACTGACATCATCTAAACTTGAAATAAAATAATTACAGTAATTTACTCACTTAAGAAGTATACCTTATTTATAAGCATCATTTGGAACTTGATAAAATTATGGAAAGTGAATGAATGCTAACCCCACTCACTTTCTTATGATCAATGTATAAAAAGAAATTCTGCTAAGAGAAGACACAGAGGACTTATTGAGTGACAGAGAGCCTTTGTTGGCCACTACAGGCTGTAGCTGACTATATGATGGCACCATGAGGGAAACCAAAGTCTTTCTAAAGTAAAATTGCAAGTTATTTTGAAACCTGGAGCCATGTCATACTTGCATTTGACAGAAGTTAATCAGTCCTGGATATGTAAATATGACCCAATTTATTTTAATGTTAAAGTACAGTAATACATTTATATGCTCAATATAAGCAGTATATTTTTGGATAAGGATCTTTGCTTTTGCAGCAATTTCAGGGCACTTTTTAATAATTTGTAAGAATATTTCTAATGCTAGCTATGTCTGGCACCATGGTACTGCCAGGTCTCATATTTCAAGTATTGCATGGTTGCCAAACACATGTGCAGTCTAAGGATGCCAGCAATGGATAAAAGGTTAATTTCTTTCTTCACATTCATGGGATTTCTTTCTCCTCCACCTAATCCCCAGGATCCAAACATTATCATCTTTAATTTTGGGGGTTTTATATGTTTGCATTCAGTTGGAATATGTAATACTTTCTTTTAAATGTTCAACCTATTTTCACTAATGTAATAAAGTCCATTCTTTGTGCATAGGGAATGCACAGTTTACACAAGCTAAACCAGAAGTTTGCATAAATGTCATGAAAATTTATTCCTGTTCTGCAAATATGTAATGTGAGCACTGTTTATATGGTACTTAAGGTGCTCTGAAAAGTAACCCAGTCATCATATTTGAACCAATGTGGAGAGAGAAGAAAGTGCTAACAGAGCACGTGCAGAAAGATTTTCATCAGGAGCAATTTGTTTAGCAAAACAAGTAGCAGCAAAATACTCAGAGAGCCAAGCCCAGGGTTCCTTTCCTTGTCTTAATTGGGGGATCTAATATAGGGGTCAAGAGTGTCTTGAGCTTTCTTAAATGTGTGACAACTCCCACAAAAAGAAGTTTGAATGAAAACAGGCCACCAAATATTGGCTGCACCAACTTGGAAGTTTCCCAAGATTTGAGCTTGTAAGAATATTCCAGTTTGGGCTCTGAAAAAAGAGACGTAGTGGGAAAAAAATTAAGGAAATTTCCACAACTCTAAGCTCAGTGTCCTGGACTGGAACTAACATTTAATGAAGAGGTAAAGTACAATTATGAGGTATAGAAGAGAAAATTGTGCCATTTGAAACAAAAAACTCAGGGATATACTAGCTGTTAAATGAAGATGAAGAGTTCTACATCTGTGCTGGACTTGAAACAAAGCAGAGTTTATAAGAATTTGTTTAAAACCCCATGTTTAACTGCTGATCCACAGCTTACCCAAGAGCACGGATGCTTAATGAACAGATAGCTATGTTGGGGAAAAAAAATATGAACATATTTAAATAATTTGCTAAAAAAAAAAATTATAAAAGAGATGTAGAGACAGGTGAAGGGCCAAATTTTGTTCTTAGTTACAACTACATAATTTCAAATTCATGTACTTGCATGTCAGCTGAGAGCAGATGCAGAGAGAGAGACAGACTTGGGCAGAATTTGATCAGTCCACCTTAGCAGACTCTTAGATTTCTAAAATCTGGTTTTGTATTTCTTTCGCTGAGCAAGATCCACCTGCACATTCAATGCATTATGGCTCAAAAATTAATGTTACTGATTAATTTTAGCTTCATTAAATTCTAGCTTTAATGCTGAATAATTCTGGATCAAATGGAGAAGGATTAAAGGATCTCTAAATCACAGTGGGTCAATTGCTGCTGTGATCTGTACTAGCAGAAATAAAATTATTTCTCCAACATGCACAATGTATAACATATTGTTACAAACTATGGGTCAACATGTTGGCCCTTTATTAAGAGACACTTTCAATCTCAAGAGACACCAGTAGAATATTTCAATACCTAGTTAGAGGAAAAACTGTGAGGATTTTACCGTGATATAATTTTATCAAGTATATTTTGGGCAAGTGCTTCCCATTATCTTTGATAAAGTTTACAGTATTCCCATCTTTAATATCACTGAGAGTTCAACAATGATGATTCTCCAGTATAAGAAAGGAGACCCCCCTGAGGATGATATAAAGGTTCATCCATGTGCCCTGGTCCTTAAATGAAAAGCATTCACTTAGTTAAAGAACTTCATGTATTACAGCAAAATGATTGATCACTTTACCAGCAAGGCTGTTGTGTTTGCTTTCCCCTACAGGATTCTATATCCATAGTGTTTAAGAATGTTCACATCAAAATTAATTTTGCAAGGAGTTATATATCTTCATTATATGTAGGGGAAATTAAGTTTATCCTTGGAAGCATCAAGTTCTAAGTTGCTAAAAAATGCTGACATATTTTACAACCTAGATTATTACTTCTTCATGTAAATCAAAAATTAAATTTCTGCATTTCATGCTTATCTTTATTCTTAACAAAAGAGGAATATATTCTAAGAGTACAAGGTAGCTGCGGAAGGGACTGTTCTCTTTTCTTAGTTTTAAATGATTTTGTCCTGAGCTAGATGTTTTAAAAAAAAATCTATCAAAGAGAAAACACATGGAAGGATATACCTTCAATAAATTTATAGCATGCCTGATTGTTCGTTATTGTCTCCTTTCCTCATATTATGACCAGGCTAGCAGTCCTTCAGTGGGAAACAAAATTACTTATATATTAGAAAAGGATGCTGGAAATTCAAAGCTCTGAGTTCAGTTTTCAGTGGATTAGAATTCCTGTGGCAGGTTCAAAAATAATTAAGGAGGGAAAAAAGCCCACTAAATGTATACCTAAATTTATGACCCAAATCCAGATCAGACATATATTTTTGGTATGCAGATCTGGCATACCATACTGAAATTCTTTCTTTTTCAACCTCTCCTGGAGACACCGCATGTTCCTACATGATCTGGATTAGAAAGCTTTTTATAGAGAATAAGTAATTCCGTTTTGCATACCACAATACAGGACAATGACCACCAGATCTTTGAATCTGAGGCTTTTCGTTTCATATCCCCATGAGTAATGTGATTTGCTATTGATCACAACAAGAAAGAGCACACTGAGCTGCAAAAGCCTCGCATCTGGGTTCTTATGGTCGTTCTCCTATTCTAATGTATTATTCATTAATATTGCCATGAGCTAGTTTTAAAGATAGAAAAGCAGTACTTAACGGGCTTGTAGAAATACTTCAACTTGCAGATATTAATTAATTTATCTTCCTATTGTCCAGAAAAGTCCCTTAGAGAGACCATTCTTTCAGACTCTTTCACGAGACTGCTTACCACAGGATAAATACCTCAGTAACAGAGAATAAACACCCAAAAGCATCCACAGTATTAGCAAGTTGCCAGTAAAAGACAGAAACAATTATACAGGGGGTTATGATTCAGACTCCATTGTAACAATGTCTCCTTTATCATTTCAACATAGATCATAGTCCCATGCCAAGACAAATTGCCAAAAACTATCAGAAAAATATCCAAGCAGGCATTAGGAGCAACAGCATCAAAGTATGTTCACAGGGTATGTAATGCTCACTCACACCCATTTACTGTGTCATTATGGGACTCGGTGACTTTTTTAGGACATTTCAAGTCCTCCTGACTGGGCTGAGATTATTTGCTGTAGTTTAGTATCTTGTAGTTCTGCCCAGTTATGTTTGTTTTAGGAATAAAAAAAGCAGTTGCTCCAATGGATGTCTGTGTGATATAAGCAGTTCTGTTTCTTCATGTACTTACCAAGATTGTGAGTATGAATTTGACATTTTTGGCCATTGTGACAACGTCGGATCAGCAATGTGCTCAAAAGCCACAATCTCTCAACAGTGTAGGACTTTGGCAGTGAATAGCTGCAGACAAAATGCAAGTGCAATCATGTGAAAAATTAAGAGCTCTTTCAGCAGGGTACATGTCTTCAGAAGAAGGAATTACTCATTTCTGCATCTTTTTCAGCTCCCAAGCAGATTTTCTTGCAGAACTCACTGTATCTCTACCATTAAGAAGATATGTGTGCTATTTACTGTAATTACTCGTGAGGTTTCCTCCTTATCTGCCTTCTCCACTGAATCTAATTAGTCAGTAATAATTTCTGAATAATAACTGCTTACTAATATAATAAGAAATACCAGGGATGGAATTTTCAAAGGAGAGTGAGGAAGTCAACTCCCATTGAGGGTTGTGTTTTTAAAGGAAAGAGTTCACACGCAATTGCTTTTACAGAGTATTACTCACTAATTAGCAGCAAACTACATAGCAGATCCCACAATTAATGAAATTGGCTGGTAGCTGAAACACGATTTTCATCAGAGTAATAGTTTATTAGTCTTTAAAGAGAAAATTACTTCCTTTTTTTTTGTTTTTCATTAACAAAGACTCAGACGATTGGAAGAAAAAAAAATTTATTTTTAACTGCAATTGTAATTGGTATTTTGCTCTACTCAAAACTTCATTTGAGCAGGGGAATTGTTAGACTCACCCTGGTTAATTCCTTCCATAGGGTGTTAAAGTAGGCTTTCCAAAGGTTAAACACCGATGCAAAGGACAGAGTCCTCAGTTTCACAGATGTGATGGGATCAGACATCAAAGCTCATTCACATCCTCCTAGTAGTCCTAGATGCCCAAACACATCAAGGCTTCAAGTCCTTAAGCATAGACATAGGGCATCATTTTAGGCATCCCTGAGTGTCTAATACATCAGCCCAGGGCTTACAATATGACAAAGGACAACCTGGAAGACCTTCTAGCCTACAGGAAAAAATGGGATCTACTGAATATTTTCAGATGGCATCAGGCATCCACTAATCTCATCTGAAAAATAGCAAGAGAAAATAGCTTCCCATTTTAGTGAACGTGAGAAGATAGACTTTGCTCAGGACCCTGAAACCTCAAGTCAGAAAACAAAAATTGTTTTCTGGCCATTCTACTTTTGGTTTAAACACTCCTCCATAAGTTCAAAATATCTGTGTAAGTTTCATTGGAGTAATCAAATTATTCAACTGAAATTCTCCTCAATTCCTCTTATGTTTGATCTAAAATGGCTTACAAGAACTCAAAGATCTTTAAGCCAATGTATTTCTGATTTCAGCTGAAGTAAAATCTGTACCACTTTTAATAATATTCTGCTCCTCATAGGCTTCAGATAGGATATGGAATGGAAATGGAAAACGGCCATGTCACCTCCTTGTTCATCTCAGCCATGCCATTTAATCTGGTAAGAACGTATCTCCATGTCTTTTCAAACACTGGTGTTTTCAAAGATGATCTTTTCTGTGTTTCCATAAATTTAAGATAGACACTCTAATTACTACATATATCTTCAGTCTACTAATATAGAGCTGTTCATAAGAAAATAACTGACTACAGCTGTGGTTAAACAAGTGTGGAAAATTTGCCTCAATTCTCACTTCTCCAGGATTCCCTTCAGAATAACTCAAATGTTGGGAGCAGGGCCCCCAACTAAGATTTTTTTTTAAAGTACCCTAAGTTTTTGCAAGGAGTTAGCAATTATACAAATAGTAGGAGAAACTTTTTTTTTTTTTTTTTTTTTTTAATCCAAGCAGCAAAAAAATTGAAAGTGTGGTAGTGGGTACTTTGCAGAAGGTTCTATCAAAAAGTCATACCTCCCTCTGAAGAGACAGGCATTTGCAAGAAATATCTCTTATGAATTTTCTGTGCCCAAATTGTGGACTGCTAACTGAAACTGTTGATCCTTTTGCCAACAACAAAGTCCTTGGACATAGATAATTGCTGTATTGCATGATCTACAATCATGCTTACACACCTACACACCTTTGTATGAGCAATGCTTTTAGGACATGACTTAAAAATACTTCCATGACAACGGGACTTCCCCATTTGTTTAGTGTCTCATTGTTGTCTCCGTCATTTGAAGTTTCCCAAGACGCCTGGCCTGAAAGGGACTTTATTCCAGAGGGAAGAGTGGGAAAAAGTTAATGATGAATAACTACATTGTTTAGAATCTGACATTCCCAAACAAATAAAGTCTTCAGGAAAAGAAGTAGCAAATATTCAAGTTTTCAGTGTCTTTACAACATCACTGAAGTGATATGTAATATCGAAACAAATTGCTTTCAGTAAATTGGCAATGGCACCCAGTGAAACTTATATAACTGTCTGGGTTCAGAAGAATACTTGTTTGAATGCCAGTGCTTTCCCAGATTGTGTCAGACACTCCTTTCATAACTGTAAAAAAAAAAAAAAAAAACAAAAACCACAGAGTCTTTCCCATCAACTGAAAATAAGCTGATATTCTTAATCTTTTCATTAATGCTAAGTAACAGGGAGCTACAGAGAAGAGTAGCTGAACTTAGTGTTATCTGTTGAAAGAGTCTGCTGTTCCAGTTCCAGAGCTTAACAAGATCACAAAGTAGAATCTGAAACAAGGAGGAGTCCAGCATGTCAAGAGTCATCTATGGTACAATTAATTTCATGCAATCCTTTCAACAGCTATGCTGCTAAAGACAGGCCAGCCATGTTGCATTTTAAAAGGGCTATTTTTGTAGAACAATGTTGCCCAAAGCGTTTCCTGTTCTTATCACTCCTACAGCAATGTCTGGAGCTCATTACCAGTAGCTCTTACTTTGAATAGTCAATTTTTTGCAAAAGATGCTCATTCATGTTTTCTCCCTTTCCCCACCAATTTGCCTTTAGAATTATCTGACAATATATCACTGTAGCACTGATTCACTTAGGAAACAGAGACTTATTCACATCTCAAGAAAAATTGTTGAACAAAAGGCAAATTCTTAGACCACCCACCCAGCAAAATCTGCGCCTTGTATATCTTTAAAAATTCAAAATCTTGAAAGAATTCATTTGCATTTTATTATTCAATGTTTGTCAAGTAAGTAATTAAGTAATCATGTTGACAAGTCAGACTATTCATGCTTTTTATTTCTCTTTTGTTGAAAAGTATATACTAAGAACATTTGGTAACAATTTTGTGTGTATTTGTTCTATGCTGATAGTCCTTATGTGATGGTTGCTATGAGCTTATGGAATTTTCTTGCTTAAATATAGTATCAAAAGAATAAAACATTACAAGTGTAACACATTTTGGAAGATTCAAGGTTAAAACTAAATTAAATTTATAGAAAATGTCTTAAATGTGTAGATGAGGGTGAACTAATGAAAGGGACTCTATAATGTGATGGGAGAAGTGAGTTTATAAACCAAGATGTTTCTTTCAGGACAAAATTCTTAGAGCCCTTTTGATGGGACATGATAAACGGAAATCCTGAAGTGGAAAACCTGGAGCAAAATGGGAAAAAAAATGTTTCTCTCAGAAACTGAAGTTCAGCAAGCAGTGGAAGCACATGCTTGTCTATAGGCACAAAACAAATCCTTTAGAGAGAAATTGTGCCTTCACTGAAATTACATTTCATATTTCTCAGAGATTCACCAAGGCTTAAAATTCTGCTCTTGTCCATTAACTTCAGATACTTTCATAAACTGCACCCATGTCTCAGGCAGCAGACTGTGATAGCTAAATTCTTCAAGGACAAATTTCACAGAGGAGTTTTGGAGGTTGGTGGGAATTACATGCCTGCTTCCTTACTCCTCCGGCGACAATGTTAGACACAGGAAAATTATATTCACACAGATTTTATGAGGTATATCATTTTCATGACAAAACCAAGGGAGAGGGATAGTTTTCTTAGTTACTTTATCAAAATTAACAGCCATGGGAGAACAAGTTTCTGTGTATTTGCTTTACAGATTTCTAGTTCATTCAGTGACCCTGGTAGCTTCACCTCCACTATCTGGTCACAACACATCCACCCCATGCCAGCATTTGGAGGAGCAATTGCACCACACCCTGTGCCACACCATTGCAGCAAACTAAAATAGGAGGAAGCAAATCACTTTTTTTTTTTTTTTTTTCTTTTGGCAGTGGCATTTTCTGATGATTTAATAAGATTAAACTAAATGGAGTGCAAAGGCTTCTAGGGACAAGCAGAAAGGTCTTGACCAAGGTAGAGTGGCACCACAGCAACCATCATTGTCTTGGTTATGTAATTCTGTAATTCAAGCCCGGAGTTAATGACTTAGATGCTTAAAAAAAAAAAAAAAAAAGAAAAGAATGCAGCATGTAATTCAAGTCTGATATGTGGAAAATTAATCTAAAATTTTGTATTTATTATCAGGGGAAAAATTGCAAAAGTAAACACAGTGTAAAAATTAGGACTTGCAGGACCTCAGTGTCATAAAGATTTTCACACAGGCTTACATACTTTTTTTGTATTGTAAGTAAAACTCCCGGGAGTGTATTGCATGATAAGAGAAATCCTGCCTTAAAAGCCTGATATACCACATGTGAGTTAGGAGGATATATTTCTAAGTGATGATCAAAGAATGGGCAAAAATAGCATATTATCTAATTTTGCGGATTTAAATTTTACAGTGAAAGACTTTTAAAACATTGCCAATAATTAAATACAAAGGAAAAGCTCATAAATGAATGGAAGTCACGTATGCATGAAGTGTACAGTGTTCAGAAGTGAGTGGTCTCATATGTATCAGTTACTGCAGGTTTAAGAACACAGTAATTGCTTCCTAAAATAATTTAGCTATAAGCATGTTTTTTCAGCAATGAGCAAGCTGTTACTGGAAGTAAGCATAAATGTACCGCTATTTGTATGCATTATAAAATCTGGAGAAGTTCTACGTTCGGGAATTCCCCAACACTGGCTCTGCAGTCTGAAGCTCTGAGTCAGATTTTAACTTCTTTTGTATTCATTCAGCACCTGATTAAACTGAGTAAACTTAACAGAAAAACGTGATTTTTACTGTGCAGGATTTCAGGGAAGCCTTATTCTCTCTGTTTTCCCTGCAAACCAGAAAGCTGACACACAGCCCAGTAGCTGCTTCTCCCAGCTACTTCAGCCTCACTGTGACTATCTGGAAGCTGAGTGGTGTGCCACAAATTCAGCACATATGGACAGGAGCCTGGGAGAAACAAAAGGGAAGACAAGATGCCCAAGTTAAGAAGCTGCTTTCACAAGACTCTCTATATTATCAAAGGCTAGGGCCTAAGGGCAGAGCCCTCCCCTTGTCTGCTCATACATCATAGCCTAACACTCACTGTGACAGCCAAAAGATAAATGAACTTCCCTCCTTTGTGCCGGTTCAGTTTCAGTCTGCTCCTGGATCTACTTTAGCACGTGGCCCTACACATGTTGGTGTTGACACAAGGTGGGGAGAGGTGCAGAGGAGCAGGAGGGCAGGACTGCCTTTTCCAGGGGCATTTTATTGGATGTCCAAGTTTTAATCACACTGATTTTCTCGTGTGAGCAAGTCTTGGCCCAGACTTTCCTCTCCTCCTGGCTCTTGTCATTGAACAACCCAGTCATACAAGTGAGAAAAGGGTTAGGTGTACTTAATCTGTGTCCACTCATAGCAGTGGAAAAATCCATATCTTTTTTATTAGAGAATTATGAATATTTATATTGCTATAGACTAGTGTAGTTAAACCACAATACAAAAATCCTGGTTTTCATGCCAACACATTAGGCATGAAAAACACGTCACACTTGCACCCAAGTTAGTATAAGTCAAAAAATTGGGGGTTTGTGCTGTTTTTACTTCAAACCAGTGGTTGCCAAATATCTTACAAGAAAAATTATTTCTTAGCAAAAGGAGTTTGACATTTTTTCAGAGCTTATTCCAAAATAAATTATTAGCACTGAGACCACTGAAAGACTGAAAAAAAAGCTAAAAAAAACTGGTCTTAGACACTTCAAAGTAATCTAGACTTAAAATGCAATAGCCTGAAACAACTCTGCTGCTTTCAATGTGACAAGAATTACGTCCTGCATATTCAGACATGTTGCAGGACATATACATTATGAGACAGTATTTAAACCACTGCTTTGTATTCTTAAGGATGCGTAACCTAAAATGTATGCTTCAACTTTTGCTGAGACCATGGGGTTTTTTTACACAGTTTGTATCCCATACCACTAATGAGCTAAGGACCATGAAAATCTTCCAGGTTTTGAACCTCAACAAACTTCATGATGAATGAGGCAGAAGTTACGGGTTTGTAACAGAAACCCAAACGAAAATTTTTGGACCTTCTTTCTCTCCACTATTTTTGATCCTTGTCTGGTTGAAAACTTATTTTCAGTCAAATTCCTATTTCTACTTGCTAGTCACTTTCTCTGGATTATTAATACATAACTATGAACACACATACAGGGCTCATCACAATGGTGATTTTTTTTAATGCCAGTCTGAATGCCAAGGTTTTTAAAAACCTTGAAAGAAAATCTGTCTGCTATCAAATTTAGGCATGAATTTATCTTTTGCTGCATGTCGTCATTTCCATTTCAAACATTGTAAGAATTACTGAGAGGACATGTTGCACAGTATAAATAAATATCCTCTATTTAATTAGTTTCTACTGAATACATTTTTTCCCTATGAGCCATTCCATTAGTTCATAGCCCAGACTACTGATCATGTGAGGTGATTAATACAAAAGGCAAACTTGAGTTTAAGTAAACCACCACACTAAGAAAGTTCAGAGGAAAAATACCTACTGCCAGAGGTCTCATATTTGGAAGCTGATTTTCCCAGTTCTGTTTGGAACAGTGTTGGAAATGAGCTTCAAAGTAGCAAGACAAGTACAAAATGTTGAAAAGCATTAGTTTATACATCAATTCTTACTGGGATTCGCCCTTCAGTCATGCGTCTGAGAAAACAAATTGAATTTCCTGATTTCAAATGGCAAACTCTGCTATTACATACTTTGTGATTTCAAAGAGCATCTGTCATCACACAAAGACAAATACATTTCTTAGAGAAACATCTGGTGCTTTTTTAAACAAGCCCCCGGCCAGGTCTGCGCAATGAATGAAATATGTACTATAGATAGAGTGTTATTTAATGTTGCTTTTAATTTAATCAACTGTGTGTGGAATGTTTGTATTGTCTTAACTATCTCTAAAATACTGGCTCTCCTACCACTTTAGGCAATTGTTGCCTTTTAAAAACTAAACGCAAAATTATACTTTCAGTCTAACAACAAAGAGTAGTAAATCTACTCCACTTGGCCTTCTAGTTCCTTGCAGGATATCTGTGAGAAAAGTAGTAGATGTCCACACACCTCTAAGAGAGCAAGTGTTTAGTACTTAAAAAAAAAAAAAAAAAAAGTAAAAAAAATCTGTTCTTTTGTCTGTCTGAATTTACAATACAGAAATTATTATATGTTCAACCTCATCCCTCAACTGAGCTAGAATGAAAAATCTGTAGGGTAGCTTCAAAAAGAATACAGAAGAGCTAATCAGCATAGCAGTATCCTTGAAGCCCCATTTCTCAGATTTTAATTGCTTTCTTGGGCACTTTCTGTTGTGATGGCCTTAAATCACCTACCAGCACATCCATTGCCTTCTGATGTGGTATCAGAAACTCATGTGTAACATTGCTCTTATGTCAAAATTCAGGGCAGTGATGGCTGGGCAGAGTTCCTTGATTTCTCTCTGTGGTTGGGTTTTGTCGTGTCTTGTGACTGACCATGTCTTTCACAGTGCATAAGTGGAGGGAATGGTTTGGGAAAATGTCATACACATAAGAAAGCTGATGGGAAATTGATCTTAATATGAAAGCCAAAAGGGAGAGGAGAGGAGAGGAGAGGAGAGGAGAGGAGAGGAGAGGAGAGGAGAGGAGAGGAGAGGAGAGGAGAGGAGAGGAGAGGAGAGGAGAGGAGAGGAGAGGAGAGGAGAGGAGAGGAGAGGAGAGGAGAGGAGAGGAGAGGAGAGGAGAGGAGAGGAGAGGAGAGGAGAGGAGAGGAGAGGAGAGGAGAGGAGAGGAGAGGAGAGGAGAGGAGAGGAGAGGAGAGGAGAGGAGAGGAGAGGAGAGGAGAGGAGAGGGAGAGGAGAGGAGAGGAGAGGAGAGGAGAGGAGAGGAGAGGAGAGGAGAGGAGAGGAGAGGAGAGGAGAGGAGAGGAGAGAGAGGAGAGGAGAGGAGAGGAGAGGAGAGGAGAGGAGAGGAGAGGAGAGGAGAGGAGAGGAGAGGAGAGGAGAGGAGAGGAGAGGAGAGGAGAGGAGAGGAGAGGAGAGGAGAGGAGAGGAGAGGAGAGGAGAGGAGGAGAGGAGAGGAGAGGAGAGGAGAGGAGAGGAGAGGAGAGGAGAGGAGAGGAGAGGAGAGGAGAGGAGAGGAGAGGAGAGGAGAGGAGAGGAGAGGAGAGGAGAGGAGAGGAGAGGAGAGGAGAGGAGAGGAGAGGAGAGGAGAGGAGAGGAGAGGAGAGGAGAGGAGAGGAGAGGAGAGGAGAGGAGAGGAGAGGAGGAGAGGAGAGGAGGAGAGGAGAGGAGAGGAGAGGAGAGGAGAGGAGAGGAGAGGAGAGGAGAGGAGAGGAGAGGAGAGGAGAGGAGAGGAGAGGAGAGGAGAGGAGAGGAGAGGAGAGGAGAGGAGAGGAGAGGAGAGGAGAGGAGAGGAGAGGAGGGAGGAGAGGAGAGGAGAGGAGAGGAGAGGAGAGGAGAGGAGAGGAGAGGAGAGGAGAGGAGAGGAGGAGAGGAGAGGAGAGGAGAGGAGAGGAGAGGAGGAGAGGAGAGGAGAGGAGAGGAGAGGGAGAGGAGAGGAGAGGAGAGGAGAGGAGAGGAGAGGAGAGGAGAGGAGAGGAGAGGAGAGGAGAGGAGAGGAGAGGAGAGGAGAGGAGAGGAGGCAAAGTAATTAATCCAGATCATGCACCATGACTCTAATGATTTGTACATGGGACAACACTTGTCATTTTACGTGAAATGAAGGGCCTGTGCTCTGATTTTGACACACTATATTGTCCCTGCTGTTGTGTTATTCAACACTAATTCAAATATTTTTAAAGACTCATTTCTAAATGCAATGCACACCTTGTTGTGTGTCTCTTTGGACTCACACTACAGTGGAATGGGACATGTTCATGAGTAGATTTGGCCAATCCTTTTACCTTACCCTTCTAGAACTGTAGGGAGAAGGACAGCATTTCATCTTTATCCTCCATTCACATCCTGCTTTTAGGTGAATGGTTCAGCAGTCAAAAATGCAACCAGTACACTAATGTAAATATACTGCATACACTTAGAGGACAAGGAACCAAAATAGCAAGTATGCATAAATAGATCAGTCATAAAGCACTAAAAAAACACTGAAAGGCAGAATAAAGCTTAGTGTATGTCTGCATTCAAAACAAAACAAAACAAAAAGGACAAACAAGACCTCAGAATGCATAAACAAATAATTGGAACTCAGCTACAAAGATCTATTGCTAAGCAATGTAACATCCTTCCCATTGAAGTGTCTTTTGCAATACTGTCTGCAAATTAAATCTTCTAAGCCAATCCTTGTTCTCATTAAGGATGAGTGTCAACTAAGAAAGCAATTTTGGAGTGCACAAGAATTATCATGCTTAAAAGCATAAAATATTCTCAGACTAACAGAAGTCAGTAAGAAATTTACATGGAGGAAAAATTATTCCTTACAAGCTCATGTACAATTTTGTCCATATTCTTCTGAGGCAAGTGAAAAGTGTAACTCTTGGGCTGAAGATAGGATGTACAGAATAGTTATCTGATTTGTGACTCTTAAGAGCTTTTTTATGCTCTACAAGCAGGGAAAAACATAATAGACATCATATATTTATTTTGAGCTAAATTCTTTGAGTTAGTGTAGCAATTTTGAAAGCTAAATAATCCTTTAGAAGGATGATGGCAGCCTGGCTAGCAGTATGGTATAACACACATTCAACAGGCAGCTCAAATTACAAAGGGCTTTTCCATTGTCTAAGCCAATGATCACAAAGTGTTTGTACCGATGCCAAGTTTTGCACTGACAGATTTGAGTGGGCATTACTGGCAGTGAGCTACAGTGCTTTTTAAAGAAAATTTGGCAACAGATGCTGAAAAGGTTTGCCATCACTAATCCATGCTACTCCATTTCAAATCCAATGGCCATTAGTCCAGGATTGTGTTCTAACATGTCTAATACGAAACAATAATTTTTGCTTTCTAAAACCATGTAAATGTTTGAAGATGATAGAATCATAAAATCATTTCGGCTGGAAAGGTCTCTAATATCATTGAGTCCAACTCTTTACCCCGCACTGCCAATGTGCCACATCTAGACGTCTTTAAATATCTCCAGAGATGGCAACTCAACCACTTCCCATGGGCAGCCTTTTCCAGGGCCTGATAATCCTTCCTGTGAAGAAATTTTTCCTGGTATCCAATCTAAACCACATCTGGTGCAACTTGAGACCACTCCTCTTGTCCTGTCACTTCTTACCTGGAAGAAGACGCTGACCCCCACCTCTCTGCAACCTTCTTTCAGGCAGTTGTAGAAAATGGTAATGCCTCCCCTGAGCCCAAGCTGCTTTCTGCCAGCCTTGCGCTCCAGAACCCTCACCAGCTGTGTTGCCTTCCTCTGAACATGCAGCAGCACCTCAAAGAGCTGTAGAGGAAAAAATCATGGAAACTTTGGGCTGCTGCCCAGAGGATGGTGGGTGAAGGAACATAATTTTACTCAGTAGTCTTAGTATAAAATTAATTTATGCTTCAAAAAACATTCTGTCTAACACTAAATCTGCAAGCATAGATTAGTCCTCTCCACTCAGATTTGTATTCTGGTTCAGCCATAATACAGAGAAATTCAATTACACAAAGGAAATAACAAAATTACTTAATTTCCTTGATGCTGTCCCCATAATGTAAAGTTATAGAACTGAAACTAAAGGTTAAGTAGGCAATTATCAGCTTAATTGTGACGGCTACATTATATGAATACAAACAAAAGTGATGGGGAAGTATATAAAATACACAGACCCACAATTATTTTGCATTTTACTAATGTAAAGGTAAGAAATATCAGAAAGCAGAGAATATAAATCCAATCTTGTTGTGAAGTAAATGTATGAAATATCCCACAAGTGTGTAGTTCTAGGCATAAAAGCCACATGTGTATATTTGTATTTATGCATATAGTTTTCGAACACAGAATATTGTCTGATTTCTCTACTATTTACACAAATTTTGGGTTACACAGAGGGACAGAACAGACAAAATAACATCCCAAGGTAGGCAGGGATACACTTTTATGTAATGAGGGAGATTGCATCAGTCTGAATAAGACTTTCCATTTGTAACGGATTCATACTGATTTAAAGCTGATTAAACCCCACTCTTCTCAAAGAGCTTCCTTTTGTGGTATGTTCCCACGTGCCAGAAATGAGGTGTAGCTCCTGCACGCTCATGTCCATGAAGCCCCGGACTGCAGGAGCCAGCAGCTCCTCTTGGGTGGTTCAGTGTGGGGGATTTGGGCCAAGGGCACTGTGCTGTGTCTCAGAGGTGACACCAGAGGCTTGGAGCCAGGCTTTAGGAGGGCATCACTGCCCCTCTCACCCTCTGCAGAATTCAGGCTTGCTGTGCTTCTCTCTGCAAGCAGCCTGGGGAAATTTATTAATCCTGACTTATTTATTAATACTTCATTTGCTCTGGCTTACCCTAGGCAGGTTACAGTATTTTGTTCACAGCAGAAGAATGATGAAAAAAGATGGAAAAATGGGAAATTAGGGCAATTTAACTCTTCCTAAAGCCAAATAAGTTGGGAAATGAGCTTCATTTGTTAAAAGCCAGTAGGTCAATGAGGTGGTCCTCAGAGGCAGAGAGATGTAGTGCCAAAGCAACTGAAAAGCAGGAAAACTTGTGGTGTGATTTTCAGCAAAGAAGGGAGATGTGGGGAGATTACAGGAATCGAACTAAGACAGGAATGTTTTCTTATACTAAGGTTTGGGAATTTTCTTAACATTTAATTTCCTCATTCTTTACTACAGTCAGAGCGTGGGCTTGCACAGTTTTATGCAGCTCAATGACTAATAATTGGTAGGTATGTTGAAAGATATTTCTTTTGTCATTCTAACTGGAAATTGACCTCATGAGATTATTCCCCATAATGCCTATCCATAAAAACAAAAAGTTATGAACATGTTGCAACAAAACATTGTGGATACTGAAAAAAATTATTAATGTGAGAAAATAAAAAATATGCTCATAGACATTTTATCCTTAGTTATAACCCCAACAACTTAAATAAATTAAAAATTATCAGCCATACTTTCCTCCAGGTCCAAGTGTTTATTTTGAAAAAACTGTTTCATTATTTAATCTAGTTGGGTTACTCCTTGCTCTTGAGAATATTTCCTGTATGACAATTTTATCCTATAAAATATATTTCCATCATGTCTTACAGAAAACTTAATATTTTTGTTAGAAAGCTTTACTGATAGAAAAATAATTTTTCAGCAAGTCTTAATATTCAATGAAAAGAAAATCTATGATAAAAAAGGTTAACCTCTCTCAGTTTAAAACAGCATGAATATTCAAAGAAACTATCAGTCCTTTTCTAAAAGACAAATATTAAGCCACTTGTAAAGAATGATTTACTAATTGAAATAAAACCTAAGGCTAAACAAGGGTGACAAAATACCTCAAAAATTAAATTTACATTAAATTAATCCTCTTTTGAAATCTGCTGTTTGACTGTTTATATTAATTTGATTTATCTTGATAAGATCAACAGTTTAAAATTAATATAATTACTGAAAGAGATATACAAAACACAGAGATGATGTAATAAAGCAAGTTAATTGTAAAAAGTAAATTACTTTATTGTTTCTTTCATGGAAATATACTTCCAGAAAGGAAAACAAATGTTTTTGGGAAAACAGGACAAAGAAAATTAAGGAACATACCTGAAGCACATTAATAAAGGAAGTATAGATTAGTTGTTAATATAAGTTTAAGTTCTATCATTAGTCAAAATAGAAAATAAAGGGTGGACAAAAAAATGCTCAAATGTTCTTGCAAACTAAGACAGAAACCACACATACAATACAAAGCCAAATGCTTCCTTGTGGCCCTTTAGCTATATACTGAGGCAGAGATTCTCAGCCAGTACCCTTTCTGTCCTTTTATTTATCCTGCTGTGCAAACATCATTATCCTCACTGTAAACCTGGAAAAATGAAGCACAGTGCAGTGGGGATGGGAAGGTCAGTGAGCCAAATTTTCCTTTCTTCAGATTGCAGCTTTGGAGCTCTGTTCCTGCCAGGTTAGACTGTGTCCCTGTGAGCTGGCGGCAGCCCCAGTGCCGGGGAGGGGCTGTGCAGTACCCGAGGCACATCGGGTCCCAGGCTCCACGTTGTGATCACTCCTGTGGGTCACTGCTCCTGAGCATCTGCTGTCCTCCTAGGAGCTTGGTTTCAAATCAGAGCGCATGACTTTGCTTACAGTCTCTCTTTTTTCTCCGTCCCACACCAACTTCCTTCGATCTCAAATGGTCTAACTGCCAAAAGTGTCTTCTGCCATATAAGCATGTCCTTTGATTCTCCCTCTAGTCCATCAGTTTTTATTCTTGTAAAATATTTAAATCCTTTTATCCTTTTTGAAAATGACTGACTTAGTCAGGTTTTGACCTTTTGATCTAGTAATAAATTTTCAATTCTCCTTTTTCTTTCTTTTTTAATATAAGTATGTGGTTGGAGGAATCATTATTATCCCAACTTTATTTTGCTAACCGTTCATGACTGAGGTTTCCTCTTGCTTTAGCAGATACTTTGCAAGGTCCTGATCAACTCACAGATGTCTCAGCCCACTGAAAATGTTCACAATTTTATCAAGAAATCATTCACAAAGAAACATCCATAAAATCTCTGTGAAGTAAAAGAAATAATTTGCAGCATATATACTCTTATTTAATATCCACTCCTGCTATCTGTTATTATGGAAAGTAATTGTTCCCAGTACATAAGTATTATTAAGTGGTGCATCAGATATCACATTTACAGGTAATATATATCATGGAACAAAAAAAACCTACCATTAGATGACAGTTTGGAGACTTGTAAATTCTTGTGTAAAAGATTAAAGACTGCTCTTTTTTACTCTGTTATATCAGGTAGATCTGATTTTCCATACTTGGTTCTCTCAAAACAAACATGTTGAAGATGTCAAACCATATAAGAAATCTCAGTTCTTTTGATTTAAATTCAGTTTTAGCACAAAGCTGTGCCTGAGAAACTTCAGGTTTTTCATTATTCAAAACTTAACTATGTATTTCATTAATAAACTAAAAAAAAAAAAATCAAACTTCAGAACACTTTAGAACTGTAAAATGTATCAGATACTTTTTAAACAATAGTGTTTATATAGTGTTTGTAAAATTGAAGTGTACCACAGATATCTGGTCATCTGGTTCAATAATAACAGAGGAAATATACTTAGCAGAATTGTTTTCTCCTCTGTATTCTACAGGAAAAAAAAACACGTTTTATCAGGTCAGAATATGTTATCATGATCATTAAGCCTTGCCTCTTCCACAGCTCTGTTGGCACATTTTAGCTTTACTGCTTCAAAAAGCCCAGAAACACTGGTCAGAACTACTTAGAAAGATGCAGGTTACAGGGTTATTCCAAAGATCTATACCATAGAATCAAAGAATGGTTTGGGTTTATGATGGACCTTGAAGATCATCTAGTTCCAAGCCCCCTGGCAGAGGCAGGGACACCTTCAAGTAGACCAGATTGCTCAGAGCCCTGTCCAGCCTTGCCTAGAACACTGCCAGGGATGGGGCATCCACAGCTTCTCTGGGCAATCTGTTCCACTGCCTCACCACCCTCACAATAAAGAATTTTTTCTTACTATTAATCTAAACTTACTCTCAGTTTAAATACATTCCTCCTTTACCTGTCACTACAAGCCCTCGTAAATAGCCTGTGTTAATCCCAGAGGTTGCCTCAACCCAGCTAGAGTACCTTGCATTTGGTCTTGTCAAACCACGTACGATTCCCATGTGCCCACTTTTGAAGCCTGTCTAGGTCCTTCTAGATGGCATTCCGTCCTTCAGGTATATCAACAGCACCACTCAGCTTGGTGTCATCTGCAAATTTGCTGAGGTTGCACTCAATCCTCTATGTCATTACTGAAGAAAACACTGGTCCCCATACAGACCCTTGAGGGTCACTACTCATCACTGATGCCCACTGACACTTTGAGCCCTTGATCATTACCCTCTGGATGTGACCATTCAACAAATTCCTAATCCACCTCATGTATACAAAGAAGCTTGAGGAGAAGGCAGAATGCAGATGTTAATTTTAAAATGTGAATAACTAATAATTACCACTTTTTCTGTCTTCTTTGTGAAGCTGGACTCCAGTGGGTCTGCTGATCTAAACAGGAGGAACAGCAAAGAGCAAGCCAAAGCCTGTGAAGAAAGGGGTCAGCAGCTGGTCATTGATGATAAGATCTCTAAATTCACATGGTGGAAGAAATCTAACAAATCTTCCAGTGACTAAATGAAAAAAGAAGTTTCTACAACAGCAGATGAAGTTTTGGCAGGATATCAGATAAATAATTCTGTATGAAATAATATATGTTTAAGGTACATCAACTAGTGGATTTATTGAAAGATGAAATTCTGAGCCACACAAAGCATGACATAGAGACAATCTTGACAATATCAGCATGTTAACACTTTTATCAGCTGCAGCTGCTACTGCTATGCATGTTATCCTGCTATTCTATCACATAAGGACAGGCAAGAATTTTAGTCTCCATAACAATAAAATCTGTGCAGTAGCATTTCATGTTTAATGCAGACAAAATCACAGGCATAAGGATGACAAGATATTTTGTTTCTGCTAACCATTTGTTTTTTGTGGTATCTGCATTAAGGTCTGGTGCATATTGCAATAAAGGGTCTGTCAAAGATGTTCACTAAACAGAGGTATTACATATATATATATATATATAGAGAGAGAGAGAGAGAGAGAGAGAGAGAGAGACAGGGGTATTCACATACATTCCCCCTTATGTAGCTTCTTCGTTTACATAAAATTCAACCTCTGTAACCAAGTATGGTTTTGATTAAGAAGATGTAGATCCCTAAATCTTTATCACTACATCCTTTTCTGGCTTAAGCACTTCTCTTTCTAATAAAGATATAGCTCATTTTAGTGAAAAACTGGGGAGGGCTTGTTCCTCTGCCTTTGCCAGCTCCTGAATACCAATACACCCGGCATACACATGTAAAACTACTTTCATTTCTAATGAGTATTGCCAAAATGATCATTCTTCCTAAAAGGCAGAATTAAGATGTAAAATATCAATCACAGAGCTAGCATATGCCAAATGGCTCAGTCCTAAAAGGTTCTGAACCTCAGTGCTCAAAATTTCATTCAAAAACCCAAAGTGTGTATCACATGCAACTTCATAGTCTTTTTTGATTTTGAATGTTAACTTGGCTGAATTTTTGCTCATACAGTCAGAAATAAATAATGGTTTCTGATCTTAGATATGTGTATGCATGTATATATATACATACATGTATATCTTAAATATATATATGTAATTAAAAAGAAAAAAATATGTGTGTGTGAGTGGACAATAGCACCTTATTTCTGTTTTCTACAACACTACAGATGTAAGGATGGGAAATGTTTTCATATGCGGTCTGTACAAACAAACAGAATTGGAAAAATTAAATTTTTATGAAATGTCATAGGAGTTTTCATCACAGAACTGGGAGAAATCACCCATATCCAGTAGATGTTCCAAGACTGGAGATTGAAACCTCCCAAGATAAACACTGAAGAAAGAAACAGATTTCTTTTAAGTTTTTCTCAGAATCAAATTCTAAATTTTGCCAGAGTCTGGATTTGGTGCTCTCATACTATCATTTAGCAAGAGAATTATACAAAAAGTATGATTTTCTATGGAGTTGTACATCCTGAACTGATAAACAGGAATACCAGTATGCTAAAACCAAATATGTGACAATTGCATCTTTTATCAGCACAGTTTGAGGTTTAATAACTCAGAAGCTTCATACTGTGTTTTAAGTTTAGAACCAATGTCACTACAAACTGAAAAAATAGCATTTTCTAATCTCTTCAGAGAACCCATTTAAGTCCCTAAAGGTAATTAATTAATCAGCTTAAAAAGTGGTTTATGTCAAACTGTGGACTCCTGAGGTAGAGATTTAATCATCACCAGGTATGTTTTCCAACTACTCAACACATTGCAATGATATTGTATGCAGTTACTGGTTTTTTTCCAAGCCATAACCCCCTGCTCCTGGTTATGGCGGTCACAGGGATTTTACACAGCAAGTTGCTGTCCAAAGGACTGGAAAATAGAAAAGAAAGGACAGAAATTTCAGCGAAAGTTCACATTCCTTGTTATAGTTAGCACTGAATATTAAAGATAATGTCAATGTGCAGGACTTCAGAAATACCATCTGGGATATGCCTCATATTCCATAGCATGGGCTAAACTAATGCCACAGGACAAAACTGATAAGATCTTATGAAATGTCACTTCACACTGAACTTTATTTACTGTTATTGACAATTATGCATGTAAAAATAATATTTTTAGACAATAAGGGTTTCTAAAGACGTGTCATATGTTCATGGTTAAATATGCTAAATGTCACATTAAAGCTGACATGGCTATGGCTCAAGGCAAAAACACTGTCAAGTTGCCTATGATCCAGATGTGGTATATGTCATCAAACTGATTGTTTCTGTTTGACTGTGGTTTATGGTGCATAATATTGCTTATCAAACATCCTGGAAAAGTGCAGCTTGCCAGAATGAGAAAATGTTTCATCCCTTTTTGGTATTCAGCTGCAGTTAACTCTTGTTACTGTTGCTGGCAGATATTGCAGATGTGTTTCAGTAAGTGCTAGCTGCTCTTTCATTCAATATGTATAGATATATACATATGCTTATATATATGTGTGGGGAAGCCAGAAGTAAATAAACCAGAATATGATTAAATTCTTGTGGAGGTATACTCCTAGTAGGAAATTGTAGCTCTAGAGTATAGTAGGCAGACTGTGAATGTGTGGGAAAGTTAAAATTTCACTGTTGAAGTCATATTAGACAGTTTATGGATCAGCTGCAAGTAGTCTTTTGATGAGGTTTTCATCCTAGGTATTGGCTTTGTCCTTTTATTAGGAGATAAAATCAGTGCATTTAAGAAATAAGTTTAAAGGAGCTTCAGTAGCACTTGACTCAGCAGGCTACCTCTGGAGCAAATAATTCTGAATGGAAATTTATAATATTTTAATTATCTTTGCTATATAGATTTTTAACACAGCTGGATACACATTGCAGTTGTACTGGGAATCTGTACTTCCTGGCATACAGCATTTTTTTTTTTGCAGACAGGTTTCTATAATCACTCATAACGTTTTTTACATTAAGCGGGATATTTATAAACACTGTTTCAAGCATGAGTTTGCAGCATAAGTTACCACCAATTAAACCCTCAAGACTCATTCTAGTTCATCCTGAAGATAAGCATCTTTCATGTTTTTATTTTAGCTCTAAAACTTCATTATAAAAATATCAAAAAGCCTTGATTTGGGCTGGGGAGACTCTTTGAACAATGGCTGGTGTTACTTCCAGAAAAACCAATGAAGTATTTCTGATTTCCAGAGAAAGAGGTGATATGATTTTTTTACTAGATTCAGAACACTTATTTTCTTGTTTCAGATCATTTCTAATTATGGCACTTCAAAGAAATAATAGAACCAGGTGTCTGCCCCTTTTTTCTCAAAACAGGGAAGCCTTTCCACTCATCTGGGTGAAGAGCAGAGGGTTTGCTCTCTTTTCTGTTACTGCTGTAATGGCTCTGAAGCAGCTTTATGGGCATTATGTACCCTTTCATTGTTGTGTTAGATTGACCCACAGTCTATTCCCTTCTGCCTAGGGCAAAAACAAGATTACCAAGTGACATAACCAGAACTCATTAAAAAAGCTTTGAAGGAGCCATTTGGTAAAAGAGAACTGCTTCCTGTTATCATGACCACTCCAACTATAATTTCTTTGACTAAAACAGAAACGGGTCCTGAAAAATGTCAAAATGAATGCTCTACAGTTCCAAGATGAAATGTTTGACTTTTTGCCTAAGTAGAATGTAATTACCCATATTGCACATTGTAATGGAAACTGTCTTTTACTTATTTACTGGCCTCCTTTGCCTCTACCACATGAGGAATTTCAAATTTTGGAGCATCTGTTCCAATCTGTAACCAAAAACAAAAGCTGAAATCCAACGGCCTTTCATAAAGCCGATTTTCCATCCTCAATACATCAAGTGTTGGGCAGGGAACTGGAAGCAGTAGGTTAGTTCAGGTTTCTCTCTTCAACACTTCAGACAAAGTGGAAAGGGGAAGAACGAGCGCTGTTTAGTCCTCTGGGGAGTGTATTTAGAGCTCAGAGATTGCCATGAGGGCCTGCGAGCAGAAAAGAAGATGACTATCTGCTTGAGGCACTCACAGAGCTGGTGTCACAAACCTCACAGCTTTCAGTTGCTAGGTAAGCATTAGGACCAGTAGAGTGACTAATGTCTCCATATGGATACGAGGGAATGGACATAATACTTCTGTATTCTTGTGCCATTAGAATGAGACACAATTTGACAGCATGTAGAAAAAAAAAGTGGGTTTATTCATGTCTTGGATATTTCTGACACAAATAATTTATCATCAAAAAATCAACTAAAAAAAATAATACCTACTCAAGTTAGTATCTGGGTCTCACTTGCAACTGTGGCCAAAACCTGCAATTCTCCAGCATACTCCCAGCCAGATCTATAGTGAGTAATGCATTTGTTCTATAGTTTAGACCTCTCAGCAGCTCCATATCCCTGGCAAACTGTAAAGACAAGTAGCGGGAAGAAGCTTCTCCATCTGACCACTAGCACTTTCTGACCCCATCCTACCCTTAGCATCCCCCAAACATATACAGAGACTGACAAAAGAGGCACAGTCCCACATATTTTTAGCACATTACCAAGTTTTATTACACAGAGCATGCAAGTCCAAACTTGCTAAACACATATTTTGTAATTGCCTGTGAAGAAGTGTCTTATACTTTCTTCATGATCTTTTTATGTTTTCAGAGACAGTGGAAGATACAGAAGCACTCTTCTTTGAAGTGCTACCTGAGACACAAATCCAATGGCATAGGAAGGCACTGAAATAAGGCATTGAAATAATGTAACTATGTAAATCGTAAGTCTGGAAACTGGATTTCTGACAAAATGAGCAAGGCTTTAAAGTTAGGCTATTGTTACTGATTTCATGTGAATTATATGGTTCTAGATGAGGTTGGGATTTGGCACTTCTGGGGCTGAAATTCATGAGTAAAGCTAACAGAGGATTGTATAATAAAAACGAAACATGATGATTTACTTTTATATAGCTTCTCCAACTCTGCAAAATTGGTTCAGCTGCCATCATTGTATGGATTTTTGTGTTGTGCAAAAATTACAGAAAAGGTTAGCTGGTTTTGATAAAATAGAATCTACCTCCTAGGGGGAAATTAAATTATATTTGACAGCTAAGAAGTATTCACATGACAAAAGAAAACAAGAATCAAAGAAAGTTGTAGGATTCCAGATCTTTTCCGACAGCATTTTTGTCTGATTTATACCAAGCAGAAGTTGAAATCTTATATTTTTTTCAGAACAGCTACTATAAACCATCTCCACCTAGGCTGCCTCAACCCATGGTGCCCCTTCTCTCTTGATTCAAGCATCTGGGCCTGTTCTTATGCCAACAGGCAGATTCTTTATCTACTTTTGATCTCTGAGAATGTTCAAACTCAGGCCAGCTGTGTGGATTCAGTCCTTAATGGATCCTTGTTTCTCATTACTTGGTGCTCCCTGTTGTTTTTCCTGACATAGATAAAATCAACATGTCTTCACAAGCCTTTGTCAGATTTTAATGACAAAGTCATCAGTATTTACTGTGATGATAGCTAAGAAGTCTTAGAAGATAGAAGAGCAGGTAGAGCAGAGAACAGAACTAATGGTGAACTACAAGTTAAGGCCAAGAAGCAGTAAATGTATACAACCAAGTTCCATCCTTACAGTGTGTGGCCAGACAGAGCATTGCCAAGACATACATATATATTTCTTATTTTTTGCTAGTGATGAAATCTGGGCTACTGAGTTAAGCACTGCATAAATGGATTAATAAAGTTTTCATTTAAAAAAAAGATCATTCTGTAGACAGAAACTGTAGATGGGAAAGAGTAAAACAAGAAACAGAGAAACCAAGGGACAAAGCTGAAGAGATGTGCTGAAAGAAAAACATCAATATGAAAGCTGTTGGAAAGCAAAGGGGTTTTTTTTCCATCTATTGTTAATTTTTTATAGAATGAGACTGTTCATTTCTGCAGATCTAATCTGAAATGTGCTGATATTGGTTGAATTACACCCATTAAGTTTGTTCTTGGAAAGAGACATTTTGATTCTTCTGATAAGATAATTTCTTCTTCCATTTTCAGAGACTGTGTTGTGCTTAAAATAAAGCTGGCTGAGAGATCTTCTATAAAGTGCTCCTGCTAGAAAATGCCATTTCTTCTAAATCAGCTCCTTTTATGAGAATGAGCAAGCTTCAACTTGACACTAGGCTCTTGGCTATACTATTCTTGAAGGCATTTCATGTTTTATTA